ACTTAGGTAGAACTGTCTAACTCCTTAGACTTGGTATCTGTGGTCAGCAGAACTTGTCTTACGAGTTAACAGAAGGCCTACTGCCTTTGCTTCTCTGAGGCTAAATCAACAGAATCCCCTACCAGAACCCCATCCGCTGCCAGTCTGTTCTGTCAACAGAACAGGCTATTCTGTAAAATCTGGTACTTAGTTTAAAAAGCTAAAAACCAATACAGTCTATTCACCCCCCCTCTAGACTGTATCCAGTATAACCGGGACCAACAGTTACGGTTATCAGCCATTATCTCTGAAAAATAATTTCTCGCGTTAATCCTCAATATATGCCTTTTTCGCTCGTATTGGTAGGTCAGTTGCAGCAAAGAAGATAGGTTCGTAGTCATGGTTTCCGAGTCCGTCTTGAGCGAGATGATGAGCCACAAAGTTAGCCTGGCGAGGTCGATGAACTATATGGATGAATCTGTTTCTTCTCAGTTCATTAATCTTGTTGACCTCGACTCTCAAGTAATCAGGTATTTTCGTGAACCCCCGTATCATCTTAGCGCTAATTTCAGAGTCGGTTTGGGCTTCAAACTGACTGTAACCCTTCTCTATCATGATCTGCATCGAGGTATGGATGGAAACTATTTCTGCGTGCAGGGGATTTCGTGGTGAAGTTCGGAATGATGTGGCCTGTACCAGATTTCCAGAGCCGTCGCGAAGGATTCCACCACCTGCTGCCCTTCTTGTAGTGAATGAAGCATCAGTGTTGAGGGTGAGCTCTTTCGTATCTTCTGTGTGCCACCTTATATGTTGTTGTGTGATGTTTATTTTGGTTTTGATATATGGTACTAATCCGTCGTAGTGGAGGTCTATATCAAAATCAAAGCCTTTTTGTGAGCATTACTGTAAATCCAGTCTTTGGTGTAGGCTTTAATTGCTGTTATTGTTGTGTGTTTGGAGAATTTTTTGTTGTCCCACATGCATGAGTTGAATGCCTTCCATACGTTCCATAAAATTATTCTGGGCATAGCTTGGCGAATAATCTGCCGCATTGTAGGACTTTTTCCTCCTAGCCACCAAAGTATCATATTCTTTCTCAATTCCTCATTGTCAGTCCGCCTAACCTGCATAATAAAAGAAAAGTAGACCCAAATAGGTCGAATTAGTGGGCAAGTGAAAAAACAGTGGTTCATGCTTTCTTGATGTTTGCAGCAGAAGGGGCATCTCATAGCTAGGCTAATGTTGAATCTGTATAGGTTTTCTTGGACGGGTAGTGTGTGGTTTATGACTTTCCATAAAAAGATTTTGAGCTTGAGTGGAAGCCGGGAGGTCCAGATGTGAGATGAGCTGAAAGTAGTGGGGTAGTGTTTGCGTGTAATGTTGTATGCACTGGATAAGGAAAAGATGTTATCCTTTTCAGGCATCCAAATAGGGGCACCATTCTTGATTTCAATAAGGAAACTGTGTTTATCTTCAATTTTGCACATCAGTTTCCAAGTGGCAGAGTCCTTAGGTTTAGAAACCATTTGATTTGTTCTCATATATCTCTCCCGCATGTACTTGGACCAATTGGAATTGGTAGTTCTGTACTGCCACCACATTTTAAGATGTTGAGCCTCCTGTATATGTACGAGAGATCTGATATCCAAGCCCTTTTCATCCCCAGGTCTACATAGCGATCCCCATTTCTTCCAGTGGTAGCGGTTTTTGATATTACTTGATCCCCAGAAAAAATTAGCCATTATTCGATTAAGAATTTGTATGACTTTAACTGGAAATTTTGTAATAGCAAAATGGTGCAGTGGGATAGTAGATAATACATGTTTGATCAGTATCAACCTGCCACTCTGATTAATCTGCTTTTTGTTCCAGGTGTGGAGTCTAGATTCAAAGGCTGAGATGATTTTGGAGTAATGTTCAACCCGGGTGATCCCTTTGTGGAGGCTTATGCCAAGGTAATTAAATGGTAGATTACAAACTGTCATCTTGGACAGGTGCTGCAATTCTCTTTTTCTGGCTAGAGTTGTCCCTTTACCCACTATAATGTTGCATTTTTCCAGGTTCACTAGCTGCCCAGTAGTTGTGGAGAACAAATTCAGGAATTTGAGCAGCCTTTTGATGGAGGTGGAGGAGCCGTTCAAAAAAAGTAGCGGATCATCCGCGTAACCAAGTTGAGCTGTCGGGGATGGCTTACCACCGATTAGATAGGGATTTATTTGGTGATTCTGTAATAGTTTTTTAATCCTCGGCTGAAGCTCTCTATTGCTATGAGAAATAGGTAGGGGGATAGGGGGTCTCCCTGTTTGACCCCCCTCTGTGGTTTAAAGAAGCCACAGGGTTGTCCATTTATGAGGATGAAGATGCGATTAGCTGCCGGGTTAGACATTATGAGGCGGATGAACCTCTGATGAAAACCCAATTTGGACAGGACCCCCTCCAAAAAGGACCAGGAAACCCGGTCAAAAGCTTGGGCAAGGTCCAGCTTAATGCCATTGTTTCCACCCCTTACCTTGTGGTCTAGGTGGTGGAGTATTTCTTTTCCTAAGAGGATGTGTTGGTGCTTGCCCTCCCCCTCCATAAAGCCGATCTGCTCCTTTGAAATTATTTTTGGTAGGAGGGGTTTTAGCCTGTTAGCCAAAATCTTTGTGCATATTTTGTTCATAAAGTTCGTTAGGCTAATAGGGCGGTAGTGTGCGAAAACGGTTGGGTTTGGTTTTTTTGGGATGAGGGTGATTCGGGAGGAATTTAGGGCCAGGGGCATCGGGACACCTAAGAAGAATTCCTGCACCCCTGTGATAAGATCATGTTTAATTATCTCCCAACAAATTCGAAAGAATTTTCCATTAAAACCGTCTGGACTGGGTCAGCTGCATGTCTTGGCTCAATGACCAAACTAAATTCTTGATCTCGTCTGTGAGAGGGATTGCGTTTAGAAAAGACTTGTCCTCGGGAGTGATTGTTGGGGTAAAAAGGTCAAGGAGAGGTTTAGGATCACAACCTGTAGGTTCTGCATAAAGGTTTTTGAAATGTTCAATCGCTACATTTGCAATTCCCGGGTGGTCCTGGAAAAGGTTTCCTTGACCATCTTCAATAGAATTAATCTTCTGAGCCCTTCTTTTTTGACTCACAATCCTGTGAAAAATTTTTGTGTTGGCTTCTCCCTCCGCCAACCACTTTATTTTCACTCGCTGCTTCCAAAACAGATGTTCCTGTTTGAGTCTTAGTAGCAGTTCCGCTTGAGTCCTAGACCAATCGGATCTGTTGGATGGAGTTGGGTTAGAAAGGTAATCCTCCTCTGCTTGTTGGGCCAAAATCTCAACTTTATGTACCTCACAAAACACATCACCAAAAGTGATTTTGTTCCATTGCTTTAGTGCCCGTTTAGTAGCATGTAATTTGTCGTAGAATTTGCGCATGCCCCCTCCATTATGAATAAAGTTCCAGGCTGTCGAAACTGTTTCATAGAAGGTGTGGTGGGTGTAACCCACATATCTTGAAATCTAAATGACTTAGGTCCAGTAGAGTGTTTGCTAGAGGATGATAGGATAATAGGATTAGAGGTGTGTGATCAGAAGAGACTCGTGGAAGATGCTTTTCAATTATACTTTCAAACTGTTGAAAGAAAATGTCGTTAGCTAGAAACCTATCCAGCCGCCGACATAGTCTTCCGGTGGTACGTACCCCTGTCCAAGTGAACTTGGTTCCAGAAAATGGGAGACTTCTCAAATTGCACTAGTCGATGCAATCAGTGAAATCATTGATTTCATTAACCTTAGGGAGCAATTTACCACTGAATTCTTGGAGTGACGCTATAACGTTGAAATCCCCTCCAATGATCCAAGGGATTGTTAGAGTTGTGTTCCACGTGGTTAACTCCTTCCAAAGAATTGACCTAGTTGGTCTGGTGTGCTTTCCGTAAACTGATGAGAAACAGAAGATAAAACCAGATTGATTTTCTTTGATAATCGCATGGATGACCTGCTCACCCTCCACAACATAGTCAACAATGAAGTCGGTGTCTTTCCAAAATAACCAAATTTTGTTGTCACTTTTAGTAAACACATTTGAAAATCCGAAAAGTCTTTTGTAATGGTCGGCCTTGTCTGCGGCAATCATTTGTTCAATAGTAGATAATAGTGAAACCTTCCATTGAGAGATGATGTTTTGTAGTCTTTCACTGGAAGAATGAAGACCACACACATTCCAGTTCATAATAATCATAATATCGGTTCTCGAAGCCCCTTGGCTTCTTTGTTCCTTTGAGAGCGGGTGGTGATCGGGGAAGTTGACCTGGTGTAGACTGTTTTGGAAACTTTTTTGGATGTTGTCTGGATAAGGGATTCCTTAAAAACTGGATTGGTATCCACTTTGTCCAGCTTTTTTGATAGAGTTTCAGAGATTGACACTAGTAGAAAAATGGTCTATAGTGACAATAAATTAGTGTCACTAAAAGTTTTAGTGACACCATAAAAGTGTCAACGAATGGTTGGAACTCTGACACTAAAAAATGTGTCACTAAAAAATGTCAGTAAATTGTGACACGTTAGTATCTTAAAATATAGTGATACATTTGCATTGATATACTTAACGACACTTTGATATCTTATAAATTAGTGATATCACTAATGTTACAAAAAGCTATGATACTCTTGCGCCATCAAGATTTATGATACTATAGTATCAACTATTGAACAATTTTAATACTTTTTTGCACCACCATATCCACCTAAAAGGCTAAAAGTTAAATTTTCAAGCTTGTAGACAAATATAAAACCAATTCATAATCAAAGTATCCCATAACTTACTAATTGTCATTTAGATTCAAATTAAAGTCAACATGAAAATTCAAAGACAAGTTAACTTGTTCTTGGAAATAAAGCAAAATCCAAACTACCAATATTCTTGAATTCTAGTCTAGCTACATAGGATTGCAAACATAAAGTAATCATTACATATGTTATGAAAAAACATAAAGTACATCACAAACGAGTGAACCAAAAGATCAAGAACGTTGCATTCATCTCCTTAACTAGAACTCAGTCTACATTTCTGTTATGCCTACTTCCTGTAAATTAAATGAGCGAACCAAAAAAAGGAAAATATTATTGACTCCAAAGAGAAAAATGCCAGAAATACAAAGCAACCAGAAATCAAGGGTGAAAAATAAACTAGGAAAATATAAAAATAAATTATGAATAGATTAAGAAAATATAACCTCATCAACTTCCTCCACATTAGAACCTGAACCCTGCAAAAAGAGACATAAAATAATTGAGGTTAAAAATTGGAGATCTAACACTACAATAACAATGAAAAGATAAACAAATGAGCACAAACAAGAAAGAACCAACATATGAGATTCTAAAGATATTTTGCAACGATGAATGGCCTTCAATATGAGTATATGACCTGATAGCTAGGCATCAAGTCCAAATAGTTCTCAAGTAACTCTTCCAGTTTTGGACATCTAGATTGAGTGTCAACATACGTAAACCAGCTGGAAATGCCTGTTAATGATCAGAAGAAAGCATGACAACAACCAAGCAAGGAAATTTATCAAGAAATAAGTGCAGTAGAAGCCTGAATTTGTTCCTTTCACCTACCTCCCCAAAAAAATGTACTCTTGACTCTCCGATTTCCTTGACAGATGAACTACTGAAAATAACATCACTTGTAGAGTTGTCTTTAAATCCAGGAGCACAAGAACCAACCACCAGGCAAACACCATCAGGTTTGCTTCCACATCTAACCTAATGTAATACTTAAACATCAAAGTTGTTTACAGGCCACTCACACACACTATGCAATCCATGTACAAACTTCAGGAAAATATAAATTAGAAAATAACGGAAAAATAGATAAACCAATACAACAACATCCTAAAAGAGTTTTGGGTCGGCTAACATGGATTGACATATGCCATCGGAGTTAAAAAGTAGTTAAAAATAAATAAATGAAAACTGTAGATAGCATGTTACTACAAGTGCCCGAGTTTTAATGAAGGTTATTAATAGGAAAGTGTGGCAAGTTGGACAGTTGGAGAGTGGAAGCTCATGGATATCAACTATAAATTAAAAGCAAACATGTGTGTGTTCTGAATCTTCGTTTGATGAGTTTATTGAGCTCACAGTTTTGTTGTTTCTTCTTTTGACCTGCGTAAAGCCTTCCAGGAGTTCCTCATCGACAGGTGGGATTACTTTACTACCTGAAACAGAAAGAGTTAAAAATAGACTGTCCTCAGAAATGATTTCATCACAGGATAGTTTTGGGGCTGGTGTAGTATCTGAAGTGCTAGGATCAGAAAGAAGATCTTCATTTCCGGTTTGGACACACATAATCAGATCATGAGCTACTTTCCCGGTTACCGCCTTGTTACAGGTAGCCACCAGGGGTTCGTCATGTTTGAAGGCACCGTGGCGTTGGCGAGCAGAGGTATCAGCCGTTTCCTTCTCAAGAATAGTTGCACAATTCTTGTTACAATTTTTTGGGGCTATTGTGGCTACAGGATTGACAGATTGAACATTTACAACTTGGGTATCATTTGAACTATCATAAGGGCCTTCATTGTTTACAGACCTTGAAGCTGCCACAATAGTTTGCTTCTCGATCAAAAGGGGCTGCGCTGCAGCTTCAGATTTTCATCATAGGCACCAGTGAGTTTGACAGTTGGGTGATCACAGGCTGTAACACCCCCAAATTTCCCACCCAAAAATACATTTAAATAATGATTTATTGGAAAATATTTTTAACTTTATTTGAAAACATCACAAAATGTGCAGCGGAAAATTCAAAGGGAAATAGGGGTGCTACCGCCACACTCGGTTCTCTCTTAACCGAGTGCACAGGCTAAAACAACTTAAACTTCAAAATCAAAAGCTCATTGATTAAAGTTATTGAAAAAGAAATTTACAATGATTTACTAATAATGTTTTCTAGCGGAAGCTCTCTCTCGAAATCAACTTCAACATCGATCAACTCAACACCTGAACAAAAATCATGTACAGAAAGAAAAATAAAAGAAACAAACATTAGCAATAATGCTAAGTAAGTTCCGCCTAACCTTTTAAAATAATAATAAATACTATATATAAAATTCGTACAACCTCATAAAATATTTTTCAACACTTTATAAACCATAAATCATAAGTAAACGATATCTATATAAACTCCCAATCACATAATTAACTCGTAAACCATAATAATTCCAAAATACATGAAACACCAAAATTCTCCTCTTTTGAATTTCCCCCAAAATCACTTTGTATCTAACTTCCTAGTAATTTAGAAGGGCGGTGCTCAACACTCTGGTTGAGCCCGGTGATCCGTTGTTATGTACGGCCACCCCGGAACTATCGCCGGTACCACAACTGCTCCTTGGAAACGGAAACAACTACTTTAAGTGTGCACACCCCCTAAAGGTATTCCAAGCCCTCCGGGTTAGTAAGTCGATCCGGGTAGCCGGGATGTTTTCTACCAACTACCCCACCTAAAAAACTGAATGATTAGGAGCTACTACTATCACTACTATTCAAAAGCCGGGATGTTTTCTACCGACCGTCAATTCACCTCAACCAAAACCAACAAAAATTGAGTAGTAGTAGACCTAACCATCCTCCACATTTTAAGGGACGTGGAAAACCAACACCACGGATTTCTCCCGTGATGCTCACCCTTTATGAAAATATTTATTTTTCTTTATTATTTTCTCAAAATCAATCGAAGTTTATACTTTAAAAATTTCCTTTTCATCAAACTCTCACAAAGATAACAAATTACGTACTATTACAAAATCTTCCAAAATCGTATACAATAACTCATATCAACAAAACAATATAACAACTAATATCTCAAATACAACCCTTTCATATAATAATATTCACTCAAATTCAGCACACATAAATTCAATTCTCAAATATGCACACAAAAATAATTAAAGGAAATCACGAAGAAAAAGAACTAATTTCGGTTGACGTGAAACTTACCTTAAATCCAAATGCTCCTACTTCTCTTCTTCAATTCCAGTCTCTAAATGAGCACCTTTTTAATTTAGATGATATAATTAGTCACTTATTCTATTTATAAATTATTTTATTCAATTTTCCCCTTTTATTTCCTTATTTGAATTTATTAACTTTAATTTATTAGTTATTCGAATTTATCAAATTACCTTATTAATTCAGCCATTAATTACAATATTTGAATTCTAATATTAAATAAAATATCCGAATATAATTAACTACAACATCCAATTTTTATTCAATAATCACCATTAATTTACTCTACTCATAAATTATTATCTAATTGCTTTATTTATATTAACCCATTAATTTATGAATTCAAATATTTTAAATATTTATATGAAGTCCGAATATCTAATAATAAATCATAAAAATTATTAATTGAATTAGTCCACTAATTACGTAACTAAGTTATTTATTAAGTCTACATATAGTCAATTATTTATGCTAGCTAACCCAACCTTATTTTTTTTTCCTTATTTTATTCCAACATTATTTTTAGTCCATAATATTATTTTTCAATCTCAGTGATTTATTTATTTATTTCACCATTAATATTAATATTCCCTTATTTAATTACTTAACTAGTTTTATATGGCCCAATTAAATTAAATATACTAAGAATCGACTTTATAAATTAAAAACCGTCTATAACTATATTTTGGGTCTATATTTGACCTAGGTTGTCCAGATATCTATTTTATAATTATTTCCATAATTATTCCCTTAATTTCATATATCTATTAACCGGTTCAATTACAATTAAATATACTAAATCTTAATATTTATTAATTATAAATGGTCCATAAGGTCCTAGTTAGTCATATATTTATCCTAGTTTACTCCAATATTTATTTCGTAATTATTTTCGTTATTTAGTTAATTATTTACTAAATGTGTATAAGTTGGCCCAATTACAATTAAATCAATTACAAATAGCTAAAAATATTATTTTTCAATTCTGGTTGGTCCGAATATGTATATTTATACTAGGTATTTAATTTATATTTTTCCAGATTTTATTTATTTGATCTACTATTTTATTTTTAATTTTTATTTAAACTGGGCCGAACTGGCCCATTAAACCGACCCGGCCCAAGAGTTCTGACCCAGACAACTGGGTCATCTTCTCCAGGTCGATTCCGGCGACTTCGCCGGAAACTAGAAAACTCCGGCGAGCTATAACTTGACTTACTGATAACGGATTTCGACGATTCAAGTTGCAAAATGATCCTTGCGGCGAGACGAAGCTCCTCCACCCTTTTCTATGGCAAAATATCTTCTTTTTATAAAGACCCACTTCCACAACTTGCAACTCCGGCGAGCGATATCTCTCTCGTTTCACGACCGTTTTCTACGATTCTTTCACCGTTGGATTCGTCTCACGAAGGGGAAGGTTTGAGAAGTATTTTAGGGGCTTGGTTTGGACTAAAACGAATGGTCGAAAAAATAAAAAAGTGTATATATATATACGTATATATGTATATATGCCGCAGGTGTTGATGAATAAAATCACAGGTTTGGCTTGCTATTTATAGGGAAAGATGAGGGTTCCGGGCTGTGTTAGAGTTTGAGTTTTAAACAGCTTCTTCCGGCCCTATCCTTCCTTGCTTAGGAGTCGCCGGCGGTTAGAGTTCCTCTTCGTTTGGGCTCAAAACACTGGTCTTGATGTCACGTACTAAATGCTATTTCGTACGTAGGAGTATTTAGGAGTATGTTTCTATATTATTTTATTTATTATATTATTGTATTTGTGTATTTTATACTTGACTTAAAATAGATATATATATAAAAGTTAATTTTATACTAAAACGTTACTTCTATTATCGGATCATTTTTATCAGACTAAAAATGTCACAAATGTAAATTTTCTGTCTGGTTCACTTGTTTAATAAAATGTTGTTCTTATTACTGAAATATTTTTATCTTACTAAAACGTCATAAATTTTGAAATTTTATCTGATTAGAATGTTACAACTGTTGAATTTTTGTCTGACTCAATTAATTATAAAAATGTTATTTTCGTAATATTTTATCTGACTAATAAAAATTATTTTTATTTTTATTTAAATTTTTGAAGTGTCACACAGGCTTCATAAGAAATATCATCAGTAAGAGGGGGACAAGCTGCCCGGGCAACATCTTTGGGGGGGGGGGGGGGGGGGGGGTTCTGGAATAGCACAAACGGGAGAGGCATCACACATTACTTAGATCACACTTACAGGGACTGTTATTGGGTCCTTAACAGAAAATTGTTCAGTACTAGTGTTAACCAGTATATCATCATTGTCAACACTTTCATTAGGGGCTACAACAGTAGTACAATTAACAGGGGCAACAGGGTCTACCTGACCTGTTTTGACTAGTGCAGCAGGGTCACATTTATGATCACCTGCAGCTGTTTTGCCCACATCACAGTTCACCTCAGCCAAATTTGATTTAGCTCTAGGACATTTTGAGGTTAATGGTCGAACCTAGAACACTTAGTGCATTAAACAGGAAGATTTTCATAGCTAACGAGAGAGTCGCGTTCAATAGAAAAAGATGGGTCAATCTGCTAACAGTCATTGAACACCCATAAAAATTCCAAATTATATTTTCTTTAACCAAAATCGCTGAAAATCGGAGTCTGAAAGGAAATTAATCAGACTTCTGTTCGATTGAAGAAGCCCTACGGATTACAGAATATGGGTGAGTAAACCCTATAGCTTCCAGAGCTTTTCGTTTTGGGAAAGTTCCAACAAGGGCAAAATGGAAGTTGGAAGAGATAACCTGGACATCGTTTTCAGAGAACAAAACCACCAGGAAGCCTTTGTATCTACCTGGCTTCTTAGCTGGGAGACCCAGAAAGTTTACGTCGGAGAAGAGACATGGCTGAAGATGTAAGCGACGGCCATGGAGGGTGTCCGCCTTAGCGTAGGTCAGTCCAGTCTGGGTCGCCGGTTCGTGACCCTCCGTCGGCGACATCGCTACCGCTCAGGCGTCGGGATTAAGAACGATGCGAACGAATACAAGAGAAGGAAGAGCTTCTTGGTCTAAGATTCTTGAGAGTGAGCTGCGCTTCTGCTAAGTGTGAGTGAGCTGCGCTTCTGGGAAGTGTGAAGGGTTAGTAGGGTTAAAATTTATACAATAAACCCTTCTTCAAAAAAAATATTTTCATAAATTATGAATATGACCCCATTTTTTCACCTTGAGTGTCACTATTAAATGGTGATGTTATTGTGTCAGAAATTAGTGATACTTATGTGTAAACTTTCAGTTATGTCGTCAGTTTCTGACGCTAAATTGAATAGTGTCACTAACGAAGTGTCACTGTAAGACAGTTTTCTAGTAGTGTGAGTCCCATGAAATATTTTTGTCACCAGGTTCTGGGGGGTCACCCTTAGAAACGTGGCCTTCCTCCACGGTCATATGAGAGGGGTGCCTTCTTTGGTTATAAGATCATCCATAGGTCTAGGAGAGGTAGGGAGAGGTGGCCGATCTGTTTCTAAATCGGTTGGCGGGGAGAGAGTAGAGGATATCTCAGTCTAAAGGTGAGGAGAGTGGAGGAGGTTAGAGTTGTGAGTTTGTGAAAGTGGGGTACGTAGTGGGGTTATAGAGGGAGCATTAATATTGCTTGGGGTTGTAATTTGGTCAGAGGGGGATGTATGAGGTAGTGGACACATGTCGTTGTCTGGGGGAGTGTTCTGCGAAGAAAGAGGGGTGGGGACATTGTGCTTTGGGGATAAGGGTAGAGTAATAGTTGGTTGGAGGGTTATTTGGTTTGATAGAGTATGAGAGAGGATTAAGGATGGGCTTGCGATTGTGGTTTGGTTAGAGGGGGTGTGGTAATTATAGGAAGGGGACAAGAGGGGGGGTGGGCTTTGTCAGGGGTAGGGTTCTGCGAGGAAAGCGAGGGGTGGACAGTTTGCAGGGGGAAAGTTGAAAAATTAGCTGGAAAGGGGGGAACGTGTTTTGATTGGGTATGTGA